TCCGTCTAAATGATAGTACAATAACAATCTCTTCTAAATCTAAATAAAATTTAATCCTTAACAACAATCTAGATTTACCAATTGCTTTCAGTTCGACTGGTTTGCCATCGCCCACATAAATGAATCTGGCACCATCACTAACCTTGCATAGACACATTGATGTGAGTTGTGGTACCAAAATCTATCCACCAGATGTGTGTAGGTATAAAAGTTAAATTAATCTCAGAACAAACAAAATTAAGAAGCATACCTTTCTTTGCGTGTCACGCATAATAGTTAGTGCATTGCTTCTTTTGGTGTCCCAGAGCTTTACAGAAGAAACAAACATTTTCCGTCTAAACTTTTTGTTGTTTCTTCTGTTGTACTAAAATCGCAGCAAATTTACATGTTTTATTTTTCTTGTTCTTCTTATTCTTTGAGATCACTACTAAATGAGCATTTTCTATCCTCTCAGAGTTGAGCCTTTCCTCCTCTTGAACACAATGTGAAATAAGTTCATTCCGATTTTAAGATTCTTTCTAATAGTTGTATGTCATTTTAAAATGATTAAATTGTGGTGGAAGAGAAATGAAAATAAAGTACACGAGTACTTCTTCTAACAATTTCACTCTAAGTGCTTTGAGCTTTGCATAAACATGTAACATCTCCATTATGTGTTCTCTAATGTTTCCATTTTCCTTATACCTCATGGAAATAAGAGTTGACAGAAATATATATGTCTCGGTCTTATCACTTTTGGCGAAATGTTGCTTTAGAGAATGAAGGAAATCTCTACCTGTTGTGATTTCATTGGACATAGTGCCCCAAAAAACCTCTGAAATGACATGTTCCATAATCAACATACTCATACAGTTTGATCAATCCCATCTTTCAAACTCCTTCTTTTCATTAGGGGTGCTGTCATGAGTAATCGAATCATGTTGATCAACCCATAAAAGCCTATCCAAATCCATAACTCCAAGTACAAGTCGAACATTGTTCTTCCATTGATTGAAATTTATGTTGTTCAACATTGAGATGGAATTAACATTTGCAATGATATTTCCAGTAGAAAAGGAAGCTGAACAGAGAATATACAAAAAATAAATTAATTAATACTCATACAAAACTATAAATCATAAAATTTAATACTGAATTTTAAATTAAAGTATATTCCATTCTCAAGATACTGAACACTTCATTAATAGTATCTTTGAACAAAATATTAACTTATAAGTGGTACTCTGTAAAAATAATTAAATATAAACAGTAGAAACACATTAAATAATAAAGCTTTCTTTGAGCTAATTTAAAATTCACATGTTATACTGAATAGCTGTCGCATATTCATTATCTCAAAAAATGAAATGTAATAATATTAAATATTAACCTTTCTTTGACCCTATTAATATTAACATAAATTATACTCATACAACTATTTACGTTATAAAATAAATAAATTATTCACAAAAAATGTCATTTTAATGACATGCTGTGTAATTAAATTATTTCAATATGTATATTCACATACCAATATTAAAATTTAAAATTAAAATTAAATTTAAACTGAAATAGAAATGAATTAAAACAATTTTTTTAAAAAATTGATCATTGATCAGTCAAAGTTAGCATTGACCAATCAACCATTGACAGTTGACGGGTCAGTCGTTGACCAATCAACCATTGACTATTAGCCGGTTAAAGTTAGCATTGATCGGTCAACTATTGCCATTGACGGGTAGACCGTTGACCGGTTCGGGTCATCATCTGTCAGGTCTGGGCTGGGTTTGGGTTTTGGGCCATTTGAAGAGGTTTTTTTTTTCTTTTTTTTTTTTTCTTATGGACTAAGTCCATATTAATAAATTTAAAAATAAAAAATTGAACTACCCAGTCAAAAACCTTTTTCCCTTTTAATTTTGAATAGAAAATTAAACAGTAAATTAAACTTATGCAGCCTGTAACGACTGCTTTTTTTTCTTCTCATGCAGCTTGTAACGGCCGCCTTTAATTTTTTTTAAAAATTAAATTAATTGCTACAGTAACGGGTAGAAATTTCCAGCCGTTACAGATTAAATTTGGCAGCCGTTTTGGCCACTGAACGGTTACTGAACCGCTGAATTTTCTTCTTCATACAGTGACGGTTGGCTGCTGTGCTATTTTTTCTTGCTTCATATATATATATATATATATATATATATACATACATGCTTAAAATATATATATACATATATAATACTTAACTTTTTAACATATATATATATTTTAATTTTTTTTGCATATATTTTCAACTAAATAAAATAGAATCCAAATTTTAAAATTTTGAATCCGAATCCAAAATTGCATTTAAAAAAAAAAAATCTCAAAAATTCAATACGAAAAATAATTTTGATATCAATTGTTAAAATAAATTTTTTTTTTAAATTCATAGATTTATAAAAATTAAACATATATTATTATATTAAATTAAAGAGAAATATAAGCAGAAACGTACTTAAATACATCGCAAAAGATTTGTTTGCGTCTGGCGGTAGGATCTTTTAAATCAACACAGTACCTTAAAATTAATTTTTTCTAGTGACGAGATTTCACAAAAATAACATTACAATCTTATGATTTGGTGATCATAACCGCCTTTTATATCGACTAATTTTTATAATTCTCATTTCGTCCATCATAAAATGAAAATATTACAAAAAAAATATTTGCACATTATAATTTCATACTTAAACTTTATGCATTAAGACCCAATATTGTTTAGCTATATTTTTTATTACTGTTAAACGAGTTTATTAAATTGATAGTATGATACACATTAAGATCCACATTAAACTCACACGTTAGAAAAAATCCAACAGAAATATCTTTCCATTCCTATCATTCATTTTTTATCTATGATTTTTGTTAGGGATTTATTTCTGGTATTAGTTTCAACATCTAAAGAGAAATAAGAATTCTTAATTTTTTTAGAAGAATTCTTTTGTTATTTCTATAGTAATTAGATTAGGTTTATAAGTATATTTTAAATATGAAAAGAACAAATTATTCTAAAGAATTATAAATCTTAAATATTCAAGAAAAATGAATAAATAAGCATATAATTTGCTTATAGAAAGATGGTTTAGGAATAATATTATATAGAAAATATATATTATTATATATGGAGAAAAGGTAGGATGAGAGAAAGACTCTTTTTGTTTTTTTTTCTCTCAAGCTTTAAATAAGTGGTGATTTTTTTTTTTAAAAAAAATCTTGTTTGATTTAAAATGGAATGAAGTGTTAAATCTTGTTTTCTTGAAAAATTTTCCACTAAATTCTCATTTAAATTCAGAAAAAATCATTATTCATAATCTTGGATTATATTATATCTGGTTAATTTTATTTTGATTTAATGAAAATAATATACGAAAAATATTTAAAAATAACATTGAATTTTAAGAGTTAGAAATAGAAAAAACAAACCATGAAAATATTTTATTTAATTTTTTTAAAATAAAAAGGCATTTTCTAAAACTTAAGTTAAAGGGGTATTTATACAATTTAATTCATAATGTGATACCAATAAATTTGACAAATTTCATATTCATCCACATTGTATATGTAGAGAGAAATTTAGCACTCAACTCAAAGCTCTCATTTTTCTTTTTTCACTAAAAAAAACTCGGTATGCTGAATCCAAATAGGCTCTTAACTTTCAGATTTATAATTTGGTAAACTCTTGAGTTCAAGTTACCGGGATTTTAAATTGAAATAATTTTAATATTTGTGTCCGAATATCACAACGGGGGTGTAGCTCATATGGTAGAGCGCTCGCTTCGCATGCGAGAGGCACGGGGTTCGATTCCCCGCACCTCCATGGTTTTTTATTTTTGACTTTGACCCTGAATTATGACGTGTCTTTTCCAAATTTAAAAAAAATATATTTTAGGAGGAATTTCTAGACACAAAATAAAACAGCAAAAGTCTTTGAAGAAAACCCCCTTCCCTTCCCTTCCCTTCCCTTACCTTCCCTTACCTTCCCTTCCCTTCCCTGTATGTAAATATATATTGATAGTTTTTTACTTTATTTTTTGGTATTTAAATTTTGTACGCATCTTAAAATTTAACAGCAGTTTTTCTTTAGTCTTTTAAGAGCTCCTCCTCTCAGATTTAAACATTACTAACACAAAAAAATAAATTCATATTTTA